CGAGCGTTGGGGCTGGAGCCGACCACCTTCTCCTCCTTAGATAACACTTTAGGTTTGGGGTGAAAGGCGTGGTCGGCGGGCTTGAGAATCCTGCGGCCGGCGGGCTGGAGAGAGCCGCGGCCGGCGGTCCGGTTTTCTGTCACGGTGTGCCTACGGTGAGGAAGAAGGAACAAGGAGCGAGGAATGAGGAGAACGCAGGAGAATCAGGATTAACAGTCTTTATTGACATCACAGGAATCACACGTAGGACACGGGGATCGATGTTCAAAACCGGACAGAGAACTCAAAACAGGAAACACCTTAAATACACAAGACATGGCGAGGGGAAGCCGAGTAACACCTGGGATCAATAAACATAATGGGAGCAGAAAACTGGAAGGACCAAATATGGGCATGGACATAACCTGGAGCACGTGGGGGGAGGAAAACACACAAAACACGGAACAGAGTCTGACAACAGGAATAAATCACATTTTAAAATATATTAAAGTAGAAAATTTTATTTTAATAGCCTATATTTAATTCAATTTTAGTATATTTAACTAAAGTATTGTTTTACTGTATTATTAATTAAATAAATCCTTGGTGTGCATAAGAGACCTCTTTCAAAAACACAAAAAAATCTTAATTATTCCATATTTAATGTAGGTAGCTCAAACAGTACAATTAGCAACCCCAAGTTCATGGATTCGATTCCAAAGAAATGCATGAACTGATAAAATGCAATGAGAAATATGAAAGCAGTGTATGGATGAAATGGATAAAAGCATCTGCCAAATGCAAAAAAAAAAAAATGTAATTAAAGATAGATATACAAAGAGAAAGACTGAGAAGTAAAAGGAGTAAGAAAGAGCAATACAGAAAAAAGGAGTGAAAGAGGGAGACCATCAGGGAAGATGAAGCCGTTGATAATATCAACAGCAGTAATTGATTGAGCATATTGCTGACAAGGTGATTGTTTAAACTTGCAGTGGTGCATTTTAGTCAAGCAGCAGCAAGACAGCTCGGATAACAAAGCACACACTTTTTTTTAGACTTGGTCTCTTCATGTGTTTTTACTAATAGCTATCTAATCATGGAAAAACCAAGTGCCCTCCAAGATGCATTTGAGACATATGCGAGAGATGGAGGTGGTTTGCAACAAGTGCAGTGCAGTTAAGTGTAAATGCTTCTGTTTGTTAATTAATCCCAAATTCCCAAATGGTTTAGGTTCAGTCCATACAATCCACACATAAGTAAGCAATCGTGGATGAGACACATATATCGAGCAACCACGAATTGCAAACATCATTTGCCATATGGGACTAAGAGTCAACAGAAAATTTTGCTGCCCACCATTAGCATTACCATTAAAGTGAATGGTTATATTTGCATAGAGCGTGATTAGATATATTTGTTTTACATCATAAAATGTAAAAAAAAAAATAGAATAAAATGTACACTACTGATTTTGAAATAAGTCTCTTATACTCACCAAGGCTGCATTTATTTTAATTAAAAAAAAAACGCATTAAAAATATTAATATTGTGAAATATTATTACTTTTTAAAATAACTGTTTTCTATTGAATATATTTTAAAATGGAATTTATTCCAGTGATGGTAAAGGTGAATTTCAGCATCATTTCTCCAGAATTCAGTGTCACATGATCCTTCAGAAATCATTCTAATATGCTTATTTGCTGCTCAATAAATATTTTCTTATTATTATCAAAGTTGAAAACTTTTTGAATAGTTTTTGTGGAAACTGTGATACATTTTGTAGGACTCTTTAATTAATACATTCAAAACAACAGTATTTATTTGAAATAAAAATCTGTCACTTTTGACAAATTTAATGCATCCTTGATGAATAAAAAAAAAGTTATTGACCATAAACAGTAGTGTATATGAAGTAATTAAAAATAACATTAATAAATTGTCATTATAATACATTTTCCATGATCCATTTTTGTTTGTTTGTTTTAAAGAATAAGCTTTTCATTTTTTTTCTTTTGGACCCACATAAGTATTTTAGGAATATTAAAATCAAAGTATCAATATCATTGTAAGAAACCAAACTCATATCTATCACTTTTTCTCTTCAGGTGTTTAGAGCAATGCATTGACAATATATATCTGTCATTGTATTATGGCATATATAGAGAGAAGAGGAACATTCTTTCCATTTTAGCATTCTCTAACAAACTGGACAACAATTTCGCCACTTGTAATAAAAGTTTATTTATTTATTTATTTGCACAGAAACAGAGTACATAGTGACCAGGTGTACGGTAATGGGATGCATTGCTGTTTCTTACAATCACACAGAGATCCCAGCAGGCATGTGCCGAAACAGCTCCGCCTCGTCTTATCCGTTTACTTTCGCTTAGTGTAGTATATGGCTGTAAGAATATGAATGCTTCCGGTCTTCACATCCTACTTGAGCCCAGCAGGCAACAGCCCAAACAAAGTGACAATAAGCCATCTGTCATACGAGCGTCGGCTGCTGCACAGTCTCCAGTGCCTCCGGAGCTCCTTACTGGGGGACATTAGCAGGGTTAAACAGTCTGTATGAAGGAAAGCTCTTGGAAAGCACAGCCATATGCTGCTTCTGCTCAACTGCACTGTCAAAGAAAGCTTGCTTGAAATCCTTTTCCGTGAAGATGCTATGCATTTGGGATCCATTTTTAAGGAAATCATCAGGTGATGATTAGGTTGGAAACATGCGATTTGATTAATAAACGTCAGAGCATATGTTACGGTAATTGTTTTGTAGGAACCCTCATCAAGTTTGTGAGGCTTCTCATCTGTGTGACAGTTATCAGCCTTTTTTCTCTGTTTTATGTCACCAATCACCTTTAGCTAGAGCGTATTTAAAAAGCCATTGATCTTTATAATGCAGTGCTTTAATATGACAGTAACAGTTGTACGTGATGCAGGAAGTCAAATTGTGGAGATTGATGAGGGCTTGCAGGTGAATTATAATCCATCTAACTGAGTGATGCGCTGTGTTCCATACCAGCAGGCCGACAAATAAATAAAACTCACAAAGGTGACACTAGGAATTGATACTTAACAATCCCTCTGAGCAACAAGCACTAGGAGCGGCTTTGACTGAGAGGAAAACTCCCCCGGAGAGACAGAGAGCGAGGGAGAAATGGCAAAGCTGGGAAGGTTAATGGAAAAGAATGGACTGGATTTGCCATAGGTCACACATACGGAGTCAGCACCTTGTTTATGATTAGAAGACGTCTGAGCACAGCTTGTGTTTGAGCCACTTAATAAAGCGCTTTAAATTACTATTGATTCATGCTTTGGAAAGACATCTATGAATCTACTATGAGGTGATTACCTATGTAAGCATAAGGTCCAGCGTTTTTAATCCTTAATGAGAGGCTGTGTGGTAAAGTGTGGTCGCAGAGGTTGATCCTATCCTTTTTAATTGGTCTGAGGACCTATATTTCATTATAATAAATAATGTTGTATCTTCTAATTTCTAAAATTGTAGTCGGCCATGAGATGTTTGAAGACAAATTGTGAATTTTAATGGCCGGTGGACCATCTCTTATGCAAATTGACTGTAGAATTAATTGATTCGATCCAATTTCCAGTCCTTATAGTCCTTAACTAGATTGTGGGATTACTAACTAAATCTGGAATGTGATGCATGTATGGTGTCCTGTGGGCCGTGTGGTGCGGGGCCTTAACTGGCCGTTCTGCCAATTTTTCAAAAATTCCCAAGATAAACTTATTTGGAGCGTAGGCCGTAATTTCATTCCCTGCGCTGAAACGGGATGTGAATATGATGAGCAACTGATGGGAGTCTTTTAGTGCACTCAGTCTAGGTTAGTGCTTTGGATCAATGCATGACCCTATTGGAAAAAAATTGGGAATTTGGCAGAACTGACCTTTAGATGAAAAGAAATGGAAAGAGAGCAAATAAAAAGAAAGCAATAGACTGGTAAATTTGCAAGGTGTATGAGTAGAATTACTTGATGTAAGTAATGAGGTTGCATAGTTGTAATGATGATTTCCTCATGAGGATATTGATGCTGATAGGTTGCTGTGGAGAAAGTGTGGCATGGTGTGCTTTTGTTCAAGTGTGCATGTGTTTGTGCACTCTAGCATTCATAAAGTCGTAGAATTTATATGCTACCCTCCGTATTTTGTTATATTTATCAATGAAACCCAGATCTATGTATTTGGCTGATGCACCAATAGCCTATACATTAAAACAGAAACCTGTTTTTATTCTATATGTATTGTGAACTTTTTGCACTATTGATATTAAAGTTGCCTTATTATGGATGAATGATATATTAGTGCCATGTCATTGGTTATGGGCCGAAATTGTGAATTTATCAGAATTAGTAATGGATATGTATCTTCTGATATTGGATATTTAAATGCATGCTTGTTTTTGTGCATGCATATTTTTACATTTAGATTACCTTTGCCACCCTCAAATATAATCTTTACTAGCACTAATAATTAAATAACACTGTCAAATGTAATTTTTTAAAAAGAATCTTAAAATTAATATCCGAATTTCTTACAACCCCAATTCCAGAAAAGTTGGGATTTTTTGTGAAATGCCATAAAATCAAGAATATGTTATTCGTTCATTCTCTTGAACCTTTATTTAACTGACTAAATTACAAAGAAAAAATGTCCAATGTTTTCACTGGCCAACTTAAATTTATTCTGTAAATATATACAAATATTTATTTTAATATATGCCTCAATGTCAATGGTACCTTCGCACATAATCCAGTCACTCATGCCCATGTTTGCTCTGCTGCAGCCCCACAGACGTTTGCTTTTGCATCTGTCACTGATGAAAGTCTGGATGGTCCCTTTGGTCTTTGGGACTGAGAACTCGATGTCCATTTTTTCCAGAAACTACTTGAAATGTGGACTCATCTGACCACAGCACGGATTTCCACTGTCTTTTTAACTATCTGAGATGAGCTCTGACTCAGAGAACCCGGTGGCATTACTGCATAGAACTGATGTATAGTTTTCTCCTAGAGTAGCAGAGATTCAAGTTGCATTTATTGATGCCGCGGCAGTATAAAGTGACAGTGGTTTTCCAAAGTACTCCTGAGCCCATGTGGCTATATTTAACACTGCAACATGACGATTTCTTATGCAATGCCATCTGAGGGCTCAAAGGTCACACACATTCAACTGAGGTTTCCTGCCTTGCCCTACACAGACTGAAATTTCTCTAGATTCCCTGAATCTTTTCACAATATTATGAATGGTAGTTGGTGAAAGACCTAAATTCTTTGTAATTTTGCATTGAGAAATGTGATTTTTGATTGGTTTGTTTGGCCTTCCAAAAGAGGACGATATCTGCTTCGTCATGCCTGGAGCTGATCCGTGCTGGTTGCTGAGGAAATACTACAACTTTGCGCTGTGGATCGCCGGATCGGCTTTCACTGTGGACGAAGCGGAGTCCAGCCCGGGGTCGTCACATGTGGTTGCCGCAAGCCCTCCGGATGCTCCTTCGTCCACCTCTGCTCACTCAGCCCGCCGGCCGTTCCTCACTTTATCCCCCAGCCTCTGCTCACTCAAGGTCGCCGTGTGTGACGCTGTGTTTTGTTGTGAAAGCGAAACTATTTTGTTTGGCCTTCCAAAAATGGACACGACTAGAAATCAGTGGTTAAATTGTATTTACAACACTGTTCCAGAACACTTCAACCCAAATATTCAGATGTGTGCAGCACATTTTATGGAGGACCGTTTCCTGATCCTGGGAGAGTAAAACACATTTCATTACACCAAATACACAAAATAATGTTCTTTTTAGCAGCATCATATGACCCCTTTAACACTTCTCTCATGAGATTTTGCACAAAGTGATGAGCCATGATCCAGCTTTGCTTGCAAAGACTGAGTTGCTCCTTTTATAGCCAAACATGATACCCTCACCTAATACCAGTTCACCTGCTCACTGTTTCAAAACAGTTTAATTTGGATATTCTATAACATTTTCCCTTTGTTCCCTTAAATTTGTTTATATTTACAAAATACATTTAGATAAATGTATTTTGAAAATACAAAAAACTTTTCTTTGAACTTTTGTCAATTAAGTAAAAGTTAAAGAGAATTAACAAATCACAGATTCTTGATTTTATTGCATTTTACAAAACGTCCCAACTTTTCTGGAATTGTGCTTGTAATTTTAGTATTTCTTTTGTGATTCCAGAAATCATTTGTAGCATTTAAAGCTATTCATAGTTTTTTTTTCTTCACAAAAAAGTGTATTTTTTCCCCAATGTTTATTTATACCTTTTGATATAGAATTTTAATATCAGCCATTTAACAGTTATTGGCCATGGCATGAAATTAAATATCAGTATCAGGTAAAACTTTAATATTTTGCAGTATAGGCAAAAAGAGGTGACGTGATCTCATAGCTTTATTTTTTTCTTTCTAAACGTTTTATAGCAGTGCATCAGCGATGGATATCTGTCATTGTTAGCCCATATATATCATGTTGAAGAGGAACTTGAATTATATCAAAGACAGCTTTGGATCAATTCAGTCATGTAGTGTGGAGAGTTTGCGCTGTGCACTCTGTCTGGTTTTAAATGCCTAAAAATAGGTCTTTTTATTGTGTGAGTGGCCAGAGCAAGCTCTCTCATCCTCTGTGATCTTTCGCCAGGGGTCGTGTAATGCTCCTTAATGTGCTCATAAATCATGGCTGGTCAGGCCATGCACACAAGAATGTAAAGAATCCAACACAGCCTCCATCTATCTCTCTCTCTTCTTCTCTCTTCAAGTTAGTCCAGTAAATCTTTTTCTCCTGAACACACGAAGAGGAATTTCTCTGCAGCTGATTTTCTGCAAATTAATTACATTCTGAGCTCAATGATGGATTTAGGAATGTAGTGGACCCGTTGTGCTGTTCTCTTTACCGTGAACTAAAGCTCATACAGTGCTTTGTTTGAATTAGATCTGGATCCTTCTTAGCTTACAGGCTGATTTACCTTCTGGGGCTGCATCATGCAAGCACTGCAAGACGTCTATTATAAAATGTTGTTCAGTGGTCAGTCTAATAACAAGTGCGTGAACCTCTCATTCCCCTTTGAACTTCAATTACTGAATTTCTCTCATATTAAAATAATTCAGTCATTGTTCATAATTCATATGAATTAATCTTGATAAGCTGGTTCATGCAAGGCTGTATCCAACATAGACATTGAGGGGGACATGTATGTATCATTCAGATTATTTGTCAATCAGTTTTATGGTTTATATATATATTTTTTATGACTGAAGGCCAGTATCAATGATACCAATACTGATTTCTCTTCATGACTTCACTGACCACGGCATTGCACGTAGTTTATTTCGCGCTTTGATATGAAAGGATACAGGCTACAGCAGGCGCCGGCGCCTTGTGCTTGCAATTGAAGAGCACGCGCTGCGAGCACAGTACCGTTCCCGCATATGGCAAGCCAAGAGTTTCACATTTACGCTATAGATAAATCGCGTTTTCATACAAAACGCCGTATTTGACGGCGTTTTAAACAATATTAGCGCCGTCAAATTAAAATACGCTTTTAACGCCGTTCAGCTTGCTACAGGACGCCGTAAAAAACGGCGTTCTGATTCCACAAAAGCACACGTTATTTACCGTGTTTTCCTTGTAGTATAATGAGCCATGCCCGCTGATTTCCACAGCCAGTAATATTGAACTGTTTTCACCCAATCAGTGATGAACAGAACCAGACCAGGGCTGCGTTCAGCCCCGACAAAATGGTGCAAAACGTTAAACGGAAACGGTGGTGCGTTGAACACCCTGTTCTGATAACGCAAGAGTTGCAACTATGGCAGCTGAGAAGGCCATTCTTTGTGCTCTCTTTGAAGAATTTTCGGAGCCTATAAATACGTACTGCAACATACGCTTGATGTTACAGTCACTGCCCTTGCCGTCCAGAATAAAAGAGAACAGAGAACATAAATTAAGGGATTTGTGGAAACTGTGGTTCCTAATTATTGTGATCCAACATTTGCCTCGCATTTCAGGATGAAAAGACAAACATTTCAGGTGAAGGATAATCC